TTATGTCGGTTTCTCTTTCGTGTTTAGAAAAATACCTGTTCGAATATTCGTGAAGTAGCCGTTTGATTGCAGGAAATCACAACTTTTCTCTTCCCAGCAAAATCTAACCGTCTCAAGATTCCCAATATTTGATCGTGCTGATCGCAGGAAGCCGAAATCAGTGGGGAATTTTCAACTGAGGAAATAAATGTCACTGATGGTTAGTATTACTACACTGGCGCTTTTGGGGAGATAGAAAGTAGGATAATGAAAGAATATCTCAAGAAATATCATCCGATGACGTATAATGCTTTATGGGACCAAAGTTGTTTTCTTTCGAAACTTTCTTTCTTCATTTCTGTGCATGAGCAACATTATTGGATATGGAAACCAACAGCCTTTTCTTTCGGGAATTCCCAGAATTCAACTACTATCAATGCATTTCAATTTTTACTTAATATATTTCCTAAATTAAATTTTCGAGCTTCCGGCTTTACCGTCTCCTTATGTATAAAATTTTAAACTGCATGTTTCTGCAGGAATAAATTTTGTGCAGCGGGGTTTATATTTGTTTTATTTTGAAACCATATTTAGTAGTTTATTTCATTGCTCATTTAAATTATCAGCTTCGAAAATTGTGTCTTTCTGAAGCATAAAAATTGGACGATCAAGCAGAAGCTAGAAAAAAGTTTAACCTTTAGAATTTGGTTATTACGCAATTTTACCGCTCTGTGTTCGAAATGCTTTCTGCGCGATTTCCTCTTGGGTATGGTTATTTTCTGACGGTTTTGCAATTTATCGAGGATCCTTACCCATAGTTTGAACTTCTCGAGGATTTTCGTAGTCGGAGATGAATAAGTCAATATATTTTGAGATGTTCTCGCCGGCGATAGTTTGAAAGTCCAAACATTCAAATTTAGACTGAGGAAAAATGTCATTCATTCCACAGCACGTTCCCTTGGAAGCTGCAAAAAAAAAAAAAAGATTATCAGTGTACCAAAAAAAATCTCCATTTTTTCATCTTTCTCACCGAACCATAATAAGGAATAAAGGGGAAGTATTGTTGCGAAACTTTCCAAACCTGCTGATTGCACCGGAAGTAACATTTTTTTATTTCTGTATACTTCTCCCCGGAAATTCAAGGAAACAAATTACAAGTGCAAATTTTTTGCGGGCAACTCTTCGTCTATATACGGCCTTGCGTGCGCTTGGATCGGCTTGCAATGTTAATATCAGATGTCCTCAAGTCTGCACTTACGAATCAATCAAGAATTCACGGGGGAAATGTTCGCAAATATACGGAACTGACGAGCATATTTACTTCCTCTCTTCTAGGATTCTTCACTCTTGGAAGAGCAGTTCAAACAACATGTCAACATCGATTGTGAGTCATGCAGACTTCTTATTTTGACGTTGAGAAATACCTTTGTATTTGTCATGGAATTCCTCTTTTACATTTTTTAAAAGGAGAGAACGACGCCTCTGACATTTGCAACATTTTCAGTTATTGAGCGTACCTCTCATTAATGGTTGAAACTCGTTGAAAATAGAGATATATTGCATCACAAATGGAGGGCATACAAATTTGCTGGCGGAATTTTTCAAATATGAAATTTGTAAAAACAGCACTGTATATATATCCCGGATATCCAGAGAAACTTTCTGCGACGAATTTATCGCCTCGCACGAAAGTCTATGTACAATAAAACTAATGATGAAATTCTGCTGCATCAAAATTTTACGAGTTTCCTTTTCATCTAGAAATCAGCCTAATTTTAACCTGGGATGTACATTCAGTTCTGCATGGGACAGGTGCAAAAGAACGCTTGAAGGCTCACCCAAAGTAACTTGTCTCCTCTAAGTTTACTTGCAAAGTGAAATAAGTAGAAAGGTTACGTAACTTTGGTTATGCCTAACTGTAGCAAAAAAAAAACATTCCCACAACAACGTGAGTCTGAGGAAGAGGCTCGAAGTAAAAATTCACATGAGCGAGTAACGAAAAAAAAACCACATTGCCATTGAAGCATTTCTCGCAAAATCTTGCTTTCATAACGGATTTCAATTTTCCAAAAGAGCAATTCGTTCACGAGAACTTAGAAGCAGTCAGTTATCACAATACGCTTCCTTCCTTCCTTAATTCTTTGCTTCTCGGGAGGTACACAACAATGAAATTCGGAAAAAGATCCCAAGCTTTGCGGATAGTGCTGGAAATCAAGCGACACCTACGACCATTTAGACAATCTCACTTCACGAACGTTGCTCCAAGTTTCTGATGTGCATCAAAATCCAAGATCAACGGATTACCCACAGAAAAAAAAATCATAATCGGGGATATTCTTTCGTTTGGAAAACTCCCGACAATCCCAGTTTGATCGAAGCAGTTATCCGTTAGAAAATAGACCTCTCTGTTTCCACTCTCTTGTCAATTCGAGGCGAGCAGGAACTAAAAAAGTAAAAAGCGGGAGAATGAGCGAAGCTTTTCTTTTAAATACTCGTATTCTTTGTTCCTCCAGAATAAAAACATTCGCTCCAGTACGGTCCAAAAGGGGGGGAAATATAGGGAAGCTTACATCAGACCACATTCAGAGCGAATTGATTTCTCTTCTCGGAAGCATCAAGACGGAAACAAATTCTAGCGCATCTCTACACTTTTTCTTCGTCACCCCAAAATATGGCATAAGAACGCATACATTTCGCAGGAATACCTCGCCAAATATTCCCTCCGCGCCGATGAGTCATCGCTCAAATCCCAATGGAGACAAAAAAATCACCGCGCCATCGCCAGCTAAAAATCTTCCAGGCCAACTAAAAAACCATTTCGCTGCATCCTCACGACAATCTCTCAAAAAACACAACCGAATATCATCGTCCTATAGGAAATTAAACAGGAAAACGAAACCACGTCCGCCGTCGTCATGAAATCACGAGAACTCTACGCAGTCACCCGCTAACGAAATGTATAGAGCGTCTTGAATCTTCAAGCAAAAAAGTTTTTTTGCCGCACGTCTGGCACGAATTTCGAAACGAATCAAACCCCCTCGTATTGCCAAACACCCCAGAAATCTTACAAAATTATAAAAAAGAAAACAAACAACCAGTGCGGGAAATTTAATTACTTATTGTACTTGAAAGTCTAGTATACAGGAATAAGATCAGTCCGGCAGCAGGGTTCGGAAAAAGGAAATCCTGGGGTCCAAGCATTTGTCCACGAAATCAAAATTCAAACAGAAAAACTAGGCCAATTGAAGAACAAACATTGGCAAAGGTCCAAAACTTCAAAATGGAATGGAATTCAGCGACGCGACAGTCAATCCGCTCTTGAAAATATCCACTTCTCGGAAAAAATGATGACGCAACATCAAGTCAAACGTATGTCACACCAAATGAGTTTCTGTCAAAAAGCGGGGGGAAATAAATAGAGAAGACGAAATAATATATGTTTGGGAATTGGACTCGTTTTTTCTTCTTCTTCTTGTAATTGCGCAGAAGGGATCAAAAGGGCGAGTGGTAGAGAAGACACGGGATCAACACGAGCCCCTGAGGGAGATCTCAATGTACGACGTGGGCACGAAACCCTCTTCCGACTGGTCCACACGACGCACCCGTGTCCAACCGTCTCCCTGGTCCAGCTCGATCACTTGCAAGTCTTCTCCTTCGCACATGGGTATGCTACCCTCGCTTTGGGCTGGAACGAAATCAAAATTTAAATCAGCGACTTATTTCATCGTAAATACAGTGGGACCCCAGTATACGGACGATTCGACTTGGAGACACATAAACCTCGAAAAATCTGCCCCAATGTCTGCCGGAGATACGGACGCTTTCTTTACATTTATAGAAAAATTTAAAAATTCATTTTTCATTTTATTTTGGATAACTCTTGAACAAACTGATCAATTTTTATTCACAAATATTAAAAGTGAATGACATCATAAAATTACTCTAATTCACAATAAAAAAATAGGCTAATTTTGTGCATCTTTTTTTCCCAAGTTTTTGTCATGATGTGTGCACAACTAGCCTTGCTCTCATTTTTTGCTTCTTCGAGCTTCTTCAGATGACAAAGGACCAGATTTTGTGTGGTTTTCTTCTGTACAGTTATTTTCTGCATATTGAAGTTGAGAAAATCATGTTATTCAATTTTCTGGGACTTCATCACTAATTTTGTAATGAAGAGGAGATCCAATTCCATTCAAGTCTATGCGAAATCGTGATCTGACACAGGGACAATAATATATATAAGGTCCAAGCAACAATTAAGTTCGTATCTCGGGGTTCCAAGGAACGTCTCGTACAATGAACCAGCTTCTCTCTGAAAAATTTTATCCTATTTCGAACTACAGTATATCTGAACCGGAGTTTAAACAAATTGTTTAATTGGATACAAAGTTAGTTTTAATTCAGGGTAGATGTCGCTCCAGTCCGTATCTCGCGGTCATATTTTCTACAAGAATCAACATTGAAAACAACAAAATAAAAAAATTAATTAAAGAACACTACAAGCATGTCACCTCACGGACAGTCGGAATATACCAAAAGAAAACATCAGTCCAAGTGAAAAGGGTCACGCAACTGTTGAACATCCCAAGTGGTTATTTCATAAAAAAAAGAAACAGCTCCAGTTTTTGCTGCATTTCTTACCGTCGAACGAATATAAGGCACGACACGTGCCAAGGATCGTCAGCGCTTCGTTGTCGTCGTAAAAATATTCCGCGTCTTCTTCCTGCACGTCGTGTGTGGCACTGGCAGCACCGCCACTTCCGCTCCCACTTCCGCCGCCGTTCTCCGAGTCGGGTAAACTCACTCGACTCATTCCCAAGCCCGACTCTGGACTGTTGCTCGACCTACTTTGGGGTTTTCCATCCAGCAAAAAAGAAAAAAGACGACGCCGAAGAAGCTCGAATTAATTCAGGGTTCATCCAATTGTAAAAACGAACTTTTTCCGCTGATTTACTGAAACTCGAAAATTTTTATGCTGCGCATGCAAACGAAAATCCGCTGACTTTTCAAATAAAAACGGAATGACTCGTGGAAGCATGAACAATAGCTCAAGTGAACTAGCTAAGAACGCAAGCGCAAAATTAAAAAAAATTCTAAACTGGAAACATGTTGCATGAGTATCCAAGATGCAACAATTTGAAAGACGAGAGTCTTCTCAGAAAAATCTCAATTGTCGATGATTTTTCCAAATTCATTCTGAGTGAGCACATTTTTTTCTTTATCATTAAAAGGTGCAATGGATAAGGTAAATTGGAAAATTATGCAGCTGATGAAATCCATTTGAAATTTCCTTTTTTTTCTTCAAATTTTGGACTCACAGTGAAACTGGGTCACACTAACTTTGAATGAATTCCCCGTTGTTTTTCAAGATGTGCACACAAAATTACGAGTACCGGGTCATCTTTCCAAAAAATTCAAGTGCTTGTTTTATTTCATGTCTACATTTTGGCCTGAATAGAGATTCAGAGTTGATTAAATAATCAGGACTGCAAAAAAATGTTATGCAGAAGAACCTTCAAGGATAAACTGCTCCCAATGATTGTAGGAATAATGAGAAGACCTTCGTTTGTTATACCTTTCAATAAAAAAAAATGTTCATATACTGTACTAGTTGAATATCGGATACGTTCATCAGCGAACTACATGATTCCAAAATAACTGCCGATTATTTGCACTACAAAAAGCAAATCTCTGGCTGACACACTATATAAGCGGTTTCTAAAAAAATACACCGAAAATCGCGAACATGGAAAATACGACAAAAAAACTGAGCCAAGCTTTTCAGAAAGAGTCGCGAGTTTGCCAAAATATGTCCAAGGTGTTAGAAAAAATCGAGTGCGAAACAGAAAAAACTCAAGAGTCGTGCGTCGTCAAAAGCCGTCACAGAGTCAGAAAGTCAAGGTTTTCTTCGAAAATTTTCAAATAAAAATAATAGGATTCAGTCAAAAGTCCTTCTTCCAAAATCATCTCCCCCGAAAAATAATAGACCTCATCACCGGGAAATAAATAAAATTCATCTCCTGCTAACCAGTGCCTGATACTATTGGTCTAGATAAAACCACTCAACCCGCACTTCCTATATGTACCTGAAAGTACGGAAAACCTAAAAGGCTTTTTTTCTTTTTTTCCCCCTCTTAGAGATGGTGTGTGTGCAAACCGACCCACAACCCAGGGGTTACTCTTGAATCCCACCAACGTTTCGAGAGGTTAACTGAAACAGCTCTTGCTTTTTACAAAATACAGGAAGAGTTTCGGTGCGAGCCAATGGAAGAATGCATTTTGCACTTCGTGTGCGACCAACGAATTCGTAAAAATTTGCAAAGCTGCAATTTAAAGAAAGACAACAGGAATTGCAAAAACCAATGCAAACTGGATTCACTGGTATAATAAAAATCAACCAAATCTTTAAAAATTGCTTTCTTTAGACTGCAAGGATAAAAAAATTCCCTTTCATCGCGTGTTTATTTCTTTTTTCAAAACCATTTAATTTATGCCGAACATGTTAGATTATTAAAATTGAGCTTCTTTCTTTCTGGTCCACCCTGTACTTAACAAATGAAGAATTAAAAAAAACGCCCTTTCCGTAAAAACTAAAATTTTATCACATTCACCTGTTGATAGCTCTATGAATTTGATTAATTTATATCTTGCTTCAGATTCCGTTCTTTTTTCAACTTGATGGCGCAATTCAGGTTAGAAAAATTGTTCACAGATATTCTTACAATCTTCAGATGTAACCAGGATGCAATCCCACGAACAACTCGTTGATCTTCCAATAAACACGTACGCCCAAAAAAGTTCGCATTTGTTTACAGCTCAAGTAAGATTCTGCAAAGTGCGATTGGTATTTTTTTTACACCGTTTTCAAGTTTTGCTCGCTCCGCTTCAAAATTTTTTTTTATTATATCAACCACGCACAGTTGAGTCACTTAGTTTCTTCCTACTCAAAGTGAAAAAGATAATTGGCCATTCACAAATCGCATTCTCTCATCAGCACGCCCGGAAAAAAAAATAAGAAAAAAACCGTCAACAGGATCTCGAATACAGTACAGTACGTAATTACTCGAGAAAGGAAAAGGAATCCAAGTGACGGGCTTTCGTTTGCTTTTGAGGGACAGGCACGGGTTTGTCTAGATACCCTGGACTGTTATTGTGGAGCGCCGAGGTGGACGGCGTGCGGTAGTCGAGCCAGCACGGGCGCCTCCGAGTCGCCGCCGCCTCGCCGTTGGTCTTACGCGAGCGCTGCTCAGTCCAAACCGTCGTCAGTCCTTTATAGTCCATGTTCAGCTGCAGGTGGGACCAGTAGTGCGAGGCCGTCCAACTGAGTCCCCACAAGTACACACAAGGCTCGTTAACACCAACATTCGCAATACAGGTAATGCTCTAATCAGTGTTCCCCAACCCGTGGGTCCGCGGACCGGCGCCGGTCCGCAGAAGTTTTTCGCCGGTCCGCAGGAAATTTTCTTCAGCACAATAAATTTATAAAAATTGGCAATCAAGTCTTTGTCTGAAATTTTGGAAAGACAACGACAGTTGAAATTATCTCATGAAAAATAGAAGTAGGCTTTCCTCGTATAAAAACACTTCAGACAAATTTTTACTTGCTGTAGTTTTTTCATCAATTTTCCACGGTGAGAAACCTTTCTCTAGTCTACGTTTATAATTTTTTTGAAGATAATGCTATATAGCTGCTTCATTGGCTCTTACAAAAAAAGCAGAAACTTTTGAAATATCTGCTGTGAAGTCTTTCAAAAAATTTTGCATCTGCCGGTCCTCCGAATTACTTCTTTATCTATTTTTTTGTGGAACTTTGTTGGCCGGAAAAAATATTCAGGGATATTTTCTGGTCTGCAAAAATTTTTATGGAAATTTGCCGGTGCATAGGCCCAAAAAGGTTTGGAACACTGCTCTAATTCAGTGTTCCCCAACCATTTTGGACCTATGGACCGGCAAATTTCCATAAACATTTTTGCGGATCGGCAAAGTTTCATAAAAGTTTTGCAGACTCAAGAAGTGTTGCTAGGAAGACTTTATGGCAAGTATTTAAAAATTTCCTAATTTTTTGCAACAATTAATTTAAGAATCAATGAAGCAGCTATAGCGAAATTTCTTCAAAAAAAAAGAAAGGTGGGCATGAAGAGAGGTTTCTCAGAAAGAAAAATTAAAATAATGTATTCCACCAAGTGAAAATTTGTCAAGTGTCATTAGGAGGAAAGGAAATTTTTCTTTTCATGAAGTAATTTAAAATGCCATTGCATTTCCGAAATTTTAAAAAAGGTAAAGATAACAGAGTTCAGCCCTACTTTTGATACATTTATTATGCTGAAAATTTCCCGCGGATTGGCAAAAAATCTCTGCGGTCCGCAGACCACGGGTTGGGGAACACTGCTATAATTAATTGCCACTTCTTTCACATGCCGGGATCATTGAGCGCGTCAAAAGAGTACAAGTGAAAAGCAATGCAAGCACAAAACGGCAACAGAAAAGTACATGAGGAATCTCTAAAACGAAATACGCAAAAATCAATCGATCAATTATTATACTGTACAGAGAATACCATAGTAAAGCGTTCACAGGCCACACATAAATTCTGAGCAGCTATTTCGGGGTGAAAAACTGCAAAGCCTGCAAAAAGTAGAAAATAATTCAAGAAAAACTCTGCTTATACGCAGAAAACCAGCAAATTTTCCGAATGAAAAATTCCCCTTGGTGGAGGAAAAAAAAGTTTCACTATTACGAAAATCCGCAGAATTTCAAAAAGTATTATGAATTCTGGGTGGGGACAGAGAAATGGGCACGCACTTCTGTTTTTGGGCTTGATATCTTAAGAAACTGTCTTTCATAATTGATCATGTCAAGTGCAACGTCTCGCAAATTTTTTTACTGCTCCAATTATACTTTTCTGTCTCGGGTATCTCGAAAAGCTTGATATCTTCGAAATTTATTAGCTCAAACGCTGTCTTCGAAAATTTCGTCAGCCACATATTGCAAAATGTCATGGGAACGGGTAAGGTTTGCACATGTGCTATTTTTTGCTTCGTTGCTTTTGATACGCGCTCAATCATCCGGCAATGCTCTTTGGTTTTGTTTTCGGTCTAAAATCTCAAATTTGGGTTAGAAGAACGCCAACAGATCCCATTGAGGGAAAAACATTCAAGCACACGCAAGCAAAATTAAAACAAATACTGCAGTGATAATCGAAAAGAAAACTTACACGAACAACTTTCATGCCAGAAAACTGAACACAAACTTGAAGAGAAACGATTCGTTTACAACAATTCAAAAATGCAAGATCTCGTAGTCGAACGGCACATGTTGATCATAACATACAATCAACGTTTAAAATTGGAGATACTTTTTAAATTTAACACGTCATCGAGTCGATTCGAGAAAGTCTCCCCCATATGATGTTTCAATTGATATTATTTCAAGTCGTCTTGAAGAAAATGCAAAATTGACGCAAACATTCTATTCAGTGAAAAACCATCGAAATTAAGTATAACCTACACCTGAAAATTTTGTAATTATCAGTGATTAATGATCAAGGCGTCGATAATTTATGAATGACCAGCTTTGATAAATTCATCATTCATGCTGATTTCCTATCACAAAAACAAACAAAAATTTATCATGATCGACTGCGCTTAATTGAAATCTGAGTACAGTTATTTGAATAAGACTCAAGCTCAACCTTGAAGAAAATCACAAAAGAGCTGTCACGGAATTTCTTTCGAATCACAGAAACACAAATCAACTTTTCGGGACGATAAAGATGAGCCTTATAATCATAAATCAATTGAATTAATTTTCGTTCGATCCTAAATCCGCGTTCCCATAGTTTTTTGTCCGAAATACGGTCAAAAATTCTCTGGTTCTCTCTTTTTTTTCACTTGAAAACTTGAAGGATTTTTTTTGTCTTTGAGTTGAAGAAATATGTTAACATTTGAATTTGCAGAAGAAACAACGTCCTTTAAAAATACAGAATTAAAAAACGCGGATTCGCAGGACTGGATATACTGACCCATTGGAAGATGTCTGACTCTTGTGCCCATGGGCACTCACATGCCGCATCGGGGCCTTGGGAAGCGGGGCATGTGGGTTCGCCGGGTTCGACACTGACGAGTCCGACGCACTCCTACTCAGAGACTCTTCCCCTTCGTCAGACAAACTGTGGCGCTCCGACGACGCCGTCGAGCCTCCCGTCCGATTGTTGAGGCTATGGTTGTTGTTGTTGTTATTGTTGGACTGGCCTCGCATCGGCGGGCTGAGGCCGGCCCTGCGGCCAGGGCCACCTGTGCCCGGCGTCACGGCCGGGTTGGCCGTCTCTTCCAGCATGTGCTGGTAGTGGACGAGTTCTTTGCGGAGACGGTCCAGACGGACGCCGCTCTCGGACAGCTGGCCCTCGGTTGACGCGGGGTCTCCCAGGGCTGGGCTCGACGTGTACACCTCCTTCATCCGCATCAGTGCGTCCCTTTATTCAA